AAAAAAAAAAAAAATAAAAATAATAACGAGATAATATAATATTAATAATAAGAATAAATTTTGTTTGAAATCAATTAAGACGACTGATTATTAAAACTATACATAAAGAAAATAAAAATGATAAAAGGATTAAGAACAATGTGTGTCTTTTTATTTTCCCTTTTTACGAGTTCAAGTTATTAGACTTATAAACGACATAATGATAGAAAACATTAAGAGGAAAGGATTATTGTTGGATATTTAATTAATTTTGTCTACCAGTTAATCAGACAAATTGTTTAATTTGTTTACAAAAAAAATCTTTTTCACTTTTGCTTTTATTAATCTTATTTCTTAATAATGATAAGTTACACACAAAAATATGATAATAGGAAAGTAGTTTTATAATTATTTTGGTTTTTCCGATAAAAATAAGAAACAATTAAGAATTATTAATACAATGTTCAGCATCGGATAGAACTTTTAGTGCATGTTCACGAGCTTCGATGACAACATCCTGATAACAAGCGATACCGCGAAGATAACCTTGATCAGAAGCACTGTCCCCAGCTGTTTTTATGGAATCTGAGGTTGATTCCAAATTTTTAATACGTACCTCAAGTTTTTTCATTTTTCGATTGGCACAATTTAACATTACTTTTGGTAAACGACTATAACAATCTGGGAAGATACGATTTAATTCTGTCGTTAGTGTTTGACCAGTCTGCAAAAAAAATTAAAAAACACGATAAAGATGTTGATCAATTGTTAGTTCAACAAATTTTAGAACAAAATGAAACAAATATGACAATACAAAACCGTACAGAAATGATTTCGTCGATGTTGGTTTGAACTTGTTCAACAAATTTTGTTGCTTCTTTGGTGCAGTTGTTTAATGAAGCATAACTATTGATGTTTATTGTTCTCATAGCTAATTGACTTATTTCATAACATTTAGTTGAATTCTTCTCTTGTATTTTGGAATCGTTGACGAATATCTGAATTATTATTATTATTATTATTATTATTATTATTATTATTATTTACAAAAAAACAAAAAGAAATAATATTGTATTTACGATATTCAACATTATTTATCTTTAATATATATATAATCATAAATAGTATAATAAATAATAGTATAAAATAGTTTGACATTTTGTGTATCACTTCAATAATATTTATTTTAATAAAAATTTATATATATATATATATGTTTGTAATTTATATTTTTATTATTCATTATACTATCATACTATACTATGAATAATATTAATTATACTTATTTGATTCTCACAATATATACTTACGTAAATCTTTTCCAACAAAACATCATTAAAACAACGAATAGATTTTACACTATCTTCCTGTCGTGGAACAATTTTACTATTGAAATTATATTGCAGACTTTTTCTATATCTATTAGTATCCCTAATCTCATCTTCGATTTTTACTATAGATTCTTTGATCTTTTCTTCGACAACTTTCAAACATTCTTCGATCTTCTCTTTCACTGAGTGAGTACTTACTTCGTTCAAATATAATACTATTGCCAATACAAATATTGTGATCTTCATTTTGATGTATTTTAATATTCGATCGAAAGTTTGCACAAATGTATAAATGTAGAAGTGCCTTAAATAAGTGCTTTAACTTTAATAAAAAAATATCTATGGTTCTTAACTCCCAGTTCAGTTTTATAAATCCCCTGTGGTTTTTAAAAATCGAAAATATTTGTCAAATATTATTGAAAGATAAGAACGGATTAGGTGCCATGTTTACTAAGTAATTTTTCTCTGAAATCTGACCGTATTTTTTTCTTATTGATTTTTATCAAATAATGGCCTTTCTTGATCATTTCTTCTTCTATTTTTTACCTTTATTTATTTATTCCATTGAACACACATTTTGAAGATTAATATCTTCAAAGAGGAATTTAATCAATTAGAAAACGAGTCAATACTTGTTATCTTTATCGTATCTTATCAATTTAAATGATATATTTATAAGAATAGAATTTTTATAGT